ATATTTTAAGCCCCCAACCAGGGGTGTGTTTACTGCGAGGGAAACCAGGCATTTGCTTTGTGCAGCACTTTCTGGCCTTGCCAGCCTCTTGTCCTGGGGGGCCCAGGAACTGACCGGCTGGCAACCTCAGGGCTCCTTGAGGCTGGTGGTAGCGGCACTTTCCGGACGGGCGGCGAGGGAGCACTGGTGCTCCTGTTCAGCTCCCTCACCTGCACCGCAGTGATGCCGGAGCCGGAATATGATGTCACTCCGGCCCTGGCATCACTACGTGGCATGCAAGGGAGCTGAACAGAGGGATCAGTGCTCCCTCGCCGACTGCAGTGACCAACCGGCTGCCCAGCAGCCCCACTGGACCCAAGGGAAAACGAGAATTCAACCCAGAACTCCCAAGGTAGGAAGGCAGGGGGGATTGAATTTAAAAAAATGTGAGTGTGTTTGTGTGTGTGTGTGTTAGTGAGTGAGTGTGTGTGTGTCTGTTAGTGAGTGTGTGTGTGTCTGTTAGTGAGTGTCTGTGTGTTAGTGAGTGTGTGTGTCTGTTAGTGAGTGTGTGTGCATGTCTGTTAGTGAGAGAGTATGCCTGTCAGTGAGTGTGTTAGTGTGTATGCATGTCTGTTAGTGAGAGTGTATGCTTGTCTGTTAGTGACTGTGTGTGTGTCTGTTAGTGACTGTGTGTGTCTGTTAGTGAGTGTGTGTGTCTGTTAGTGAGAGTGTATGTTGTCTTTTAGTGAGTGTGCATGTGTGTCTGTCAGTGAGTGTGTATGTCTGTTAGCTAGTGTATGTGTGTCTGACACTGAGTGTATATGTGTCTGACACTGAGTGTGTATGTTTATTTAGAAGTCGGGGCAGGGGGTTCCTGAGTTTTGTCATGCCTAGGGCACCACTAACAGCCTCATTTACATATAATGGTGCATAAAGCGAAGTATGGGGTCAGAAAATAGCAAGGACTGATGGGAGATTGAGGAGGGACATAGCAGCTAGCTTAAACTGGTCTGGCAGTGTCCCTAGGACAATGCCCTGCTAGGGAAACAATAGGACAAGAAAAAGGGAGACAAGCAATACATTCAACATACCCTGCACCAATAATGGGCACAGGGTGAAGAAAACCACACACACGCACACAACCACATACATACATAATCACAACACACACACTTAACCACAGAGATGCAAACACAATCACACACATAATGACATCATATCCCGGCTGCCGGCTCACTGCAGGGCGAAGACAGTCAGATACAGTCAGATGCACGCAGTTATACACATATACTGTCAAATATAGCCACATGCATACAGTCCCAGGCACATAGTCAATTGCACAACGGCAAATACACAGTTACAGGTAGACAGTCACACACACACAGCTACAGGCAGACAGTTACACACACACAGTTACAGGCAGTCACATGCACAATAACAGTGTGTTACACACAGTTTCAGGCAGCATCACACAATCACAGGCAGATAGTCACACACACTCAGTGACATGCAGACACTCACACACAGTCACAGGCAGACAGTCAAAGGCAGTCACACACACACAGATACAGTCAGACAGTCAAACAAAAAGTCACAGGCAGACAATCACATACAAAGTCACAGGTAGACAGTTGCACAGGCAGACAGTCACACTAACAGTCACACATAGTCACAGACAGACGGTCACACACACACACAGTAACAGACAGTCACAGACAGAGAGACACAATCACAGTTTCACATACACTCTCTCACTGACAGAATGAGCTGGAGGAGGAGTGTATTCACTGCAATTCCTGGTGTGTTGTAGTTGGGGAAGCAGGGACTCCTTCCTGCTTACGCTTTGTGTGCAGCAGTAAGAGCAGCGGGTGGAGGATGCATTTAGCAGATTTGGCTTCGCCCCCACATCCGATTTGGCTCCGCCCCCACTTTTCCATGCAGTACTCCTGCTGTATTCCTGGCCCCTTTGTGAGCTGTGTCGGCTGCTTCTATGTTGCCCTGTGCAGTCACACAACCCCAAGGACAGTCATAGTGGCACCCACCTACCTTGTGGCACCCAGGTCGGATCCCCCCTATAGTGTTCCTTTAATTTAATTAATCAGGCCAAAATTAGACAGAACAAAGTCAATACAAGTCAGGTTAGTTAGTACATTTGGAACACTGGAATAATGGGGCAAGGCAAGGTCAGGGACAAGCTAGGTCTAATTCAGAGCAACATTGTGCAAAGCAAAATCAGAGTCAGGGATAAGATTGGTCTGGTACACAGGGACACTGGAATAGCAAATAAAGGTCAGTAAAAATATCCTAAGGGCACTGTTTGGAAGTCAGAACGTGTTAAATATAGGAATAGGCACTTCCAGCATAATTGCATCAGTTTTATGCATGTGCATTGAGCAAGGCAGGGCTCCAACTAATTAAGATGAAAGGTGTGAAAATTATGGTCTGTGTTATTTTAGAATATATGATGGCTAAAATTACACAAATTTGATCTAGTAATAATGGAGTTTGGATGGAAAAGTTTGACCTGGATTTGATGCAGATGCAGCTATTTGGGCGAGCAGTCTCTGACTTTGACACAAGTGAGTTGTCTCTGGTGAATTACTAGTGGTAGGTGCCCACGTATTATGATACGGGTACCTGCCACCATCTTTTGAGGCCCGGCTCGCGCAGTAAGCTGCCGGGGCCGCATGTTAAGGGTTCCATCGGGTTGCCCATGCTGTCAGGGCCACCCGATGGAGACGGATTGTCAGGGGGCCTGTTCAGCGCTGGGCGCTTTAACAGCGAGACCGGGCCCCCTGTGATGATGTCAGACAGAGCTGGGAGGAAGTGACTGCACATCATTCCACCCAGCTTTCTGACAGAGCCGTGCAGGAGGAAGGAGGAGGGAACTCTGACTCCCATCAGGCTGAACCCACACTGGACCCTCCTGCAAAACAGGAGGGTGACAAACATTTTGTATGTGTCTGTTTGTATGTATGTGTCTGTATTTGTGTGTGTGCGTGTGTGTTTGTCTGTATTGTGTATACAGACAAATACCTACAGACATACACACAGACAGACATGCATAGAGATGCACACATACATACAGACACACACATACAGACTGTATGTGTGTGTGTCTCTGTATGTATCTGTGTGTGTGTGTGTGTCTGTATGTCTGTGTGTGTGCGTGTGTCTGTTTGTGTGTGTCTGTCGGGGGTATGTCTCTGTCGGGGTTGTGTGTCTGTCTGTCTGTATGTATCTGTCTGTGTGTATGTATGTGTCTGTATGTATGTGTCTGTGTGTGACTCTATGTATGTATCTGTGTATATGCCTCTATGTATGTCTGTGTCTGTCTGTATGTGTCGGGGGGGGGGAGGGCACGGATCGGGAGGGGGCCATGGATCAGTTTCGCACCGGGGCCCCATGTATTGTGTGTACGCCACTGAATAGAAACTATAATTACCAAAGTTAGATGCAGAAGCTTTATTATTGTACGTGGGCCCTACAATGGCTAGGGGTTGTGGTGTAAATCCAATCGTGACAGGTTCCAGGTGAAGAATGAAATGGTTAATCCTTAATAGGCTGATCTGTTTGTTAGTATTGCAATTTGACTCATCCAAAGTAAAACCAAAATCAGTATGGAAGAGTGATCTCTGAGCATTGAACAAAGACTTATATACCAACTAAATATGCAGAATTACGGATAATATATATAAACCTAATTGGAATTAGTTATAATTATCTGCATAAAGGATAGTTAGATATCAAAAATCACCCCAATAAAGTAGATCTGAAAATTCACTAAAAGCAGTGAGAACAAGGCTAGAACAGAGTTATTTCAACAATTATCTGACTCTTGCCCCATACTTGACAGGTACATCTTCATGAAATTTAGTTTATTGCTAGGAAAATAGAGATTGCATTGTTAGTTAGCACAAGGGCCGGATTTATATAACACCATTTATATAACACCAACCCTCTTACCCCCATACCATTTTTTTTTCTTATTATTACAATTTTACGATAAAAATTATTGTATATATACACAAAGAGTAAGTGTATATAAATGTATTTGTGCGAGTAGGGTGCATCAATGTCTGAGTGCATGTCTGCGAATGTATGTCTGTGCATATGTATCAGTATCTGTTAGTGTACAGTATGTGTTGAGAAGTATATTTGTAACAGTTTGGATAGCAACATGAGTAGTAGCAGTGTGCGCTTTTGTGTGTGTATAGACCTTTAATTTCTGAGTTTGTCATTCTGGCCCCAGTCCTCAAACTCCGGGAGCTCCTGTGTTGAGCCTGAGGGGGCTGAACCATGCACAGAGCAGGCTCTCTCTGATTGAATACAGCAATCCCAAAGTCCAGCAGTCTTTTCCAAACAGCAAACACCAGGCATGAGATAGGTGGGGGAATCTCAACAGGCAGAGTAGGCAATCCATAGCAGGCATGCAACTGTAGGCAGGTGTATACTCTGCCCAATGGGATATCCATCCTTGGTTAGCACATATCTTAGAAATACTAGAACGTCAAAAATGTGCTATTATGGGGATAATACAACAGGTGTGTAGTTTTTCATCATTCATTCGAAGGTTTGGTGTATTAGTGAGCTATAGAATATGGTAAGGTTGGAGGAGAAACTTCAGTCAATATATGGTGGAAAGGCCACAACATTTACCTGTGGACTGCAGTCCCTGGTCTTATTGCTACCTAGCAATGACCCTCTGTGTACGTGCACATATCAATGTGTCAATGTGTATTTTAGCACTGAGTCCAATATCTGATCACACACATATACGCACACTGTGTGACAATCCCAAAACTGTTGCTACATAAACCATTTTAAAGCAAGATTTCTTGTACGCTTTTGTATTTCAAAATAAACTGTAGTATTGTAAGCATTTTCTTTAATTTATTAGTAAATATACAGTTAATTATCCACGTGCAAATATCAAAGTGCTGAAAACAAATGTTTATCATATCAGTTTAATGATACAGTCAAAAATATAAATTTGTCTATTGTAATTTATTACATTATGGCCTCAAGTTAATATTTTTGGATACACTTAAAATGATTTAATATTTTTAAAAATATTTTACATTTGGAATATTTTGATACAATTTTATATTTGAGATATATTTTGATATTTTAATATTTTGAAAAAATAATTTTAAAAGTTTATCCAAAGATTTGAAATCATTTGAAATGCTTATCGAACCAACGGTATTAAATCAAGGCCTATCTTAGTCAAGACTTACATTCAGGTTAATTTATATTATTTCAGATTATGGATAACCAAGGGAGGGTTTTGTTCCTGGCTCATAAATAGTTTGGACATTACTGTGGTTGTCTTATCAAATGAGAAGATATTACTGGTCTATGATATTTCTGGTTTGCGCAGTGGATTATGGGTGGTACATCCCTTTTTTGAGCTCTTGCTCCTCTTTAGTCTAGTGGTTTATTTTTAATTCTACGCACACATAGAATTATATTTCAACTCTACATACAAGTAAAAGTTAATACCGCAACAAAATATTTACTTATCTTAAATTGGTCTGTCGACAAATCGAGCTAAACAATTATTATTTTTCACTTCTAGACTTTCTTCACCTCAATGATTCAGGTTTTATAATTGTGAAAAAAATAGAAAGACTGGGAAATCCTTAACTCTTGAAATGGTTTGGATGTGTGAAAACTGATTTTGGAACCATTATCCTTGTTAGTGAGTTTTGATTAACTTTAATATGTTAGCTCCAAATATAGAAACATAGAATGTGATGGCAGATCGGAGCCATTCTGCCCATATAGTCTGTCCAATTTTCTAAATACTTTCATTTGTGTTCTTTAAAGGAACACACCAAGCACCATAAACACAACAGTGCATAGTAGTGGTGATGTTGCAAGGAGTGTCTTGGCACCCACCCCATTGTAAGTAGTCAAGCCATTTTAGATGTATTTAAAGTAATTATTTCAGCATACGGACACAGTTGCTAGAATTATTCTGAAATAAAATTACTTAAATCTCTCAAAGTCCATTTTGTAAATGTTATATTTTGGGTTATTCATTTATATCAGGAGATGTATAAATATTGCATTATTAAAAACAGCCTGGAAATGGCATGATCTCACAAACACTATAGTCAGCATCTGAGTTATGTTTTGCTTATATATTTATACTTATTTTACTTTCTTTGTTATTAGTGAGAGCCTTAGCTACATCCCAGAATTTCTTAAAGCAAAATTGTAAGCACCACAGCACCTTGTAGTGATTACTGTACCAGACATGCTCTGGATCCTCTGTTTTGTAACTAGTTAAACTGTTTTATAACAGTTTTACTTCTTCCCTGTGGTTCACCGTGCCTCCACTACAGCCTTCAGAGAGCTAAAAACTCCTCCATGAGCTAATCCCTCTCAGCCAATAAGGAAAGCCCTGCATTGCCAGGCTTAACTCAGAAAGTGTAGCTCTTATGTAGCTGTATTAGAGACTGGAGCAGTGTTTAGTGGACCCCAAGTGAGAAGTCCAATTGTTTTAAAATATTTGACTACTTACATTAGAGGGGAAGCCAAGGTACGCTTGTGCTGTAGTCAGGGCTGCCACCAGAAATTTTGGGGCACGTGATGCAGCCCAAGTTGTGACAATAACTGAGATGGAGTACTATTCTTACTCCCCTATTTTGAAATTCAGGTCACGGGGCCCATCCCCAAGCCCATGCACATGACCCGCCTCAAGTCCGCCCACATGTCCCACCCCTAAATCCACCCACAGTGCCCATTCTGATTCATTCCATGAGGATGAAGTGTGTGTGTATAGTGGCTATAGAATGTGTGTAGTGGATGCAAAGTGTGTGAGTAAAGTGGATGTGATGTTTATAGTGGATGCAGGTTGTATGTTTGTTTATTAGATGCAGAGTGTGTTTGTGTAGTGGATAGAGTATGTGTTTGTATAGTGGATGTAGTGTTTATAGTGAATGCAGAGTGTGTGTGTGTGTGTAGTGGATGTATCGTGTGTATAGTGAATGCAGACTGCATGTTTGTGTAGTAGATGTAGTGTGTGTATAGTGAATGCCGAATGCATGTTTGTGTAGTGGATGTAGTGTGGTGTATATAGTGGATGTAGAGTGTGTATAGTGAATTTAGAGGGTATGTTTTTGTTGTATATGTAGTGTTAGCGTGTATTAGATGCAGTGTGTATAGTGACTGCAGAGTGTGTATAGTGAATGTAGAGTGTGTGTTTGTGTAGTGGATGCTGTGTGTATGTTAATTGCAGTGTGTGTTTGTGTAGTGGGTGCAGTTTGTGTATTTATGTGGTGGATACTGTGTGTGTATGTTTGTGTTGTGGATGCTGTGTGTGTGTGTTTGTGTAGTGGGTGATGTGTGGGTTTGTGTAGTGGATGTAGTTTATGTGTTGGATGATGTGTGTGTGTGTAGTGGATGTGTATTTATGTTGTACAAATGCTGCTGTGGGGTAGACACTGGATTTCCTGGTGGTCCGGTGGCTCAACTGGTTGGGCCAGCAAAGAGGGGCCCAGCAGTTTCCATCTTCACCTCCAGCAGCCAGTGCTCTACTTCTGTTGTGAGCCCAGCATGCATTGCGTGCCGTGGGGCATTGTCATGGCAACCCACAGCAACAATTTACAGCCGCGGCTTGCGATAGTGCTGTAGGTGGAGGTCAATGAATCCTGGGCCCATCTTGGAAGCCAGCAGGGCCTGCAGATATATATATATATATATATAGTGGTACACACTATATATATATATATATATATGCACATCGGAGGGCAGGGCTCAGACATGCAGAGGATTGCCAGTGCAGTCCGGGTCCCGCAAGAACACCGGGCCCGTGACAACCATCATGGCTGTCACCCCCTGGTGGCGGCCCTGGCTGTAGTGGTTATGGAGTGTTCCTTTAACACATATACTTTTTTACTAGAATTCTATCCCAGCAATAAACTTCCATAGGGTAACATGTCATTATTTTGCATGATTTCGGTGGTATTCCACCCTTTAAATGTAAATAATCCTCTCATTCTGGCACTGGGAGGAGTAATATTGAAAAACACATACACATATAATGCAATTCCAAAACATCAAGATGACAATAAAAAATAATTTGTTGCCAGTTGGCACTAACATAAAATAGAGAGTTGCACTATACTTTATAAGACTGCGTTTAGACGTAAATATGTTTTATATTCTCTTTCAATAAACATCAATTGTTTGGAGACAGCAATATAATACAATTAACAATAAAATGTGAACGTATCCGAGTGTTGAATGAATTCGACTTAATAAAAGTCTCCATAGATTTATAGTACTAAAAAACACATTTATCAACATAAACCGCCGAGGTTTGTACTAAAAGAAACTTTTTTGTTTATAACCTTAATATAAATCAAAGATATATATATATATATATATATATATATATATATATATATATACACATACACTCTACATTATCTTTATCTTTCAAATAAAAAACAAATAATATGAATTTATTTACTTAAATGAAAAATGAAAGTTTAGTGCATAAGCCAAATAGGCTGGTAATAGGCAATTAAGTCCTAAAGCACCTAGATCATGTACAATTACTCCTCCACAGACAATCTGTGCTCATGTAGAATTTGTACATGTATTATTTGAAATTTATTCTGTGAAAAGACAGTGTAGGGAAATAGTCACTACTTCAGAAAATCAATTCAAATAAATAGTTCCACAACAAACAATACATTCTGAGTACCGAATAAACAGAACACAATTTCAGTGCTAGATAGTGTGCCTTAACATTTTAAAACCCATGCTAAACAAGAGTAACCGTTAGCTTCATAGTGATCCTTCACAAAGAATGTGAGATGGCAACATCCACCTTTTATTGTCTTCATCCACAGTTTGCAATATTTTCAAGAATTGTTGAAGTTTCTGAATGCTTTCTTAATCTAGGAATAAAATTTACACATATTAGACTTTAATACAATATTTTGAGCTTTAAACTAAAAAAAATCCCAGGGAATCCATCAGTCTACCTCAGGGATAGGCAACCATTCAGCACTCCAGATATTGTGGACGACATCTCCCATAAAGTTTTTTATATCCATAAAGCTAACAAACCATCAGGGGAGAGGTAGTTCCCAACATCTGGAGTGTTAAAGGTTGCCTACCGCTGACCTACTATAACCAAAATCCCATTTTATTATATCCAGCATAAAGTGAGGGGAAAAACTATTTGATCCCCTGCTGATTTTGAACTTTTGTCCACTGACAAAAAAAAGATCAGTCTATAATTTTTAATGGTAGGTGTATTTTAACAGTTAGAGACAGAATAACAAAATCAATCAATCAGATTCCAGACTCTCCAATATAGCCAAGATCAAAGAGCTGTCCAAGGATGTCAGGGACAAGATTGTAGACCAAAACAAAGCTGAAATGCGCTACAAGACCACCGCCAAGCAGCTTGGTAAGAACGTGACAACAGTTGGCGTGATTATTCGCAAATGGAAGAAACACAGAATAACTGTCAGTCTCCCTCAGTCTTGTGCTCCATACAAGTTTTCACCTCGTGGAGTTTCAATGATCATGAGAACAGTGAGGAAGCAGCCCAGAACTACACGGGAGGATCTTGTTAATGATCTCAAGGCAGCTGGGACCAGTCACCAAGAAAACAATTAGTAACACACTACGCCGTGAATGACTGAAATCCTACAGCACTCGCAAGGTCCCCCTGCTCAGGAAAGCACATGTACAGGCCCGTCTGAAGTTTGCCAATGAACATCTGAATGATTCAGAGGAGAACTGGGTGAAAGTGTTGTGGTCAGATGAAACCGAAGTCTTGAAGGCGAGCATCAGAGGTGGGAGTATGGAGAGAGGATAAACATAAGTCTTCACAGAGCGCAGGGGCCTCGATGGGACATACTTGTGTATTAGGGAGGGTAGGTAGGTTGGAGCAGCATTATGTAGGGACTTGTAAGCAAGCACCAGAATCTTAAATTAAGCCCTATATCTAACTGGAAGTCAATGTAGGGACTGACATAGTGGGGAGGCATGGGAGGTGAGGGCGGACAGGAAAATTTGACTTGCTGCTGCATTCATTATAGATTGCAGCAGTGCAAGCTGGGAACACATACGACCACTGAGAATGGGATTGCAGTACTCAAGGCGAAAGAGAACAATGGCATGGACCAGCACCTTAGCAGTTTCGGTGGTAAATAGGGGTGGATGCAAGCTTTGTTTTTGAGATGGAATTGGCAGGATTTGGCAACCGACTGGACATGAGGGGTAAAGCAGAGGTCGGAGTAAAAGAGAACACCTAGGCAGCGAGCCTGGAAGGTAGAGGTGATGGTGGCGCCGTTGACTTGGATGGAGACAGGCACAGGGATGATGAGCCAGATTGGCGAAACGTGCGTCAGGGGTTCTGACAAGCACACTTCATAGCCACTGTATCACAAGTGAGTTCATGTTCGGCTTATAATGGCGTTTACAGAAATTCACTAATACCTGTCCCCATATATTGGTGAAAATAACGGCTATCATTACAATCTCCAGCTTTCTTTCATTATATTGATTCTAGGGGTGGGAGGCATCCTTATACATTCATTTAGGAGTAACATGCATTTTGGGTTAAGGGGTGCCCTCAAAGGCACAGAATTAGTATTTACTTAGTATTTACTTTACCTCTCCCTGCTATCACCACTATTGATACAGACATACATTGGCTACATTGTTTGGCAGTGACTATTAGCTAATACAATGTTGCTTTTTTCCCCCCACTACTTGCTGGACTTTTTTAGTTGCACTATCTCTAACAAGACAATTTAGCCTGTATTACAAGCTGTGACAGACCCATCTGTATGGACTTGAATTGCTGTGTTCGTCTGTTTTGCCGTTTGTATGAATTTCCCCATTCGTATGCTTTGTTTAAGGGAATGTCTTTTTTTTGTCGAATGGAACTACCGAACGGACGGCCACCCAGAAGAGAAGTGTGCTGCTGGTTAACCTATTGATCCCAATTAGAATGTTGCGGTTAACCACAGACACTTCACAATTAAAACCGAATACCGGGTGGTCGCCGTTCGTATGTCGACCACGAGGCGGCGGCCATTTTGACTATGCAAAAGCCCAGCGGTGTTCGACGATTATTTCATGGAACTAAAAACGGACACTTTTTCAACCGAACACCGCTGAAACCGTCGACCTCCCCTTCTCAATCGACAAAAGCATACGAATACCGGCCGTTCGGGAGATTTAATAACACGAATGGACTTAACCCAGATAGCCTTCCCATGGAGTCAATCGCATACCGAAGAACTGTAATAGACTTTGACTCCATGGCGATTGAACTATGCGTATGGGATCTGAGCGCTATTCGCCAATAATATGCACTCAGATCCAGGCTATCTGGGGATGTGTTATACGAATGCAATACGTTCGGCAGTATTAAAGTTATGGATTTTAATGTGTTTTATAACTTTGAGTTAAAATGGCGATTTGCCTCTGCTCTGGGAGATAATTGAATTACTTCCCAATTATCTCCCGAGCAGAGGGGAGGAAACTGTGATGCATGCTGGGAATATTGTGGGGATGTATGTCCAGAATGTCCCCATGTCCTTCTGTCATTTCAGTCTCCCATTTGGTCCCCTAGGGGAGTGTCCACCAAGTGGGAGACCGGCATAAATACGGGCAGGTAGCCCACAGTAAACTCAGTTCGTGTTTTACCCTCAAAGTGGAGCTTGGTCTCGTTATTGGGGGGATTTTATTACCGGCGCCTAGAGACTGCTTATTGGAATTATTTGCTGCTTGGAAACTATTGCCGTTCGGCTGCTATTGGCGATTCGTGCATTTGGATCTCGAGAAGGGGAAGAGCCGTACAGGTACCGTTCGGGAGTTTGGAGTGTTCCCTAGCTGGCGGTTCGCATGGTTACACTGCATACGCTACCAGACCACATTATTGCGAACGGTGAGCATTCACTAAACGGCGGTTTGAGCATTTATTACTGGAGGTACCGTAACACAAGCATTTTCTGATATCTTAGTATTCTTATTGTAGCACTGCACATTATGAAATACTACTTTTTTCTTTCTAAAAGGGAGCGAGATGTCTCCTTATTCCTTTGTTTGTAGTTTAGATTTAGATTTTTTACTATTCTCCTTATACTGCTGGTCTGCTACAGGTGTTTTTTTTTGTTTTTTTTTATAATCCTGAACTCACAAAGCTACAGCCTGTACTAACTTACTCTGTATTCATTATCCCTATATTTGGGTAGAACTTCCAGATTTTCATATACGGACATTATAGCTACACTCAGGATTAATTGTTTTGTAAATATGTACATTATTATTTCTGTTTGCATTTTGTTTTCCTTTTCTTTTTGTTGTGGTGACTTATTTCACCTATTAATCGCTATATTAAAAGTTAAGTTTTATTTTTAGAAATACCTAGCTTAATTGGTTGATATTTGTCACTCCACCCGGGATACAGTTATTATTTCTTACTCTCTCCTAGCAGTTCTCTTTTTTTTCTCATTGAGAAAGACAAGTAAACCCATGCACATTGCTGCTTCGTTGGTTACTATTATATATACAAATAACTTACATTCTCTAAAATGGCAATGAAATCTGTCTTTTGTGTCTGTGACTTTGATGTCTCTGTTTGGTCCATTTCATTTGGTTTCAAAATGGGAGCATGCGCATTCTCATTTATGTCATAATTAGCAGATGCTGATGATGTAAAACTGCTCGTAGTCTTGGTACTATCATAATGTTGTAATTGTCTTCTTTCTTGTTCCCAGTTGCATAACTCAAGCTCAGAATAAAGTTTTGATTGCTCATCCAAGACCAGTTCAAGTTGCTGCATAGAAAAAAAACAATGAATGAAACAATTAAAACAGTAAAATTCTATCACTGTACATAGTACAAATTAAAGGGACAATTAAACTATTGTTTGTTTGTTTTGTTTTTGTTTGTCTTTTTTGCACTCTGATTTATTCCCTGAAACTGATGTCAGGGCACAATGCTAGATGTACTGCAGTGTGTGGCATGGTATTGTATTATGCCATTTAACTTATTTAACTTAATTAAAAGTGAAGCAGATGATTAAGTATATTGTGATTTGGATCACTTGCAGCATCTATATTAAAGGGGATTTTAGTCAATAAGAAAGGAATTCTTTGTCTGTCTTGTCATTGATATACTAGTCTTTAGAAATAATAATTACATTTTATTACCATTACTCTGTTAGAATTTATGTGTGTACTCAAAATATTTCAAGTAAATATAAATACATATTTTATATTTTATTTTATTTCTATATTAGTACTATTATTTTAAAAATTCTGTTCTAGTAATCATTAAAGTTGCAGTCTAAATGCCATGACTACTAGAACACAAAGTTTTCTGGTACCCTGC